TTAAACCATTTATTCAGTTCCTGGGTTTTGTAGAGATAGATGCATCCAATATAATCATTTTCAGGCTGTGTAAATTACTCCAATTTGCTAAACGCTTAAAAAGCCGAATTTATTCCATGCCACTCTGTTGAATGCCTATTTTAAAGATTCCAGTAGATTTTTAAACAAAATATAAACAAAATGTAACAATTTATCTCCCCCCAAATTAGTACCAGAATGAAGCTTTGTTACTTTATGTGGCATCACTGAGCTAAATCCCTGGTCCAACTTGTGATTATTTTTTGATGCAATACTAGTAAAGCAAGTGCTACTGAGCTACCCTGCCCCTTAAAAATTTTTTATTTTGAGGGAGGGTCCGGGATTTAGCTCAGTGGTTCTGGCACCTGCCTCGCAAGTGCAAGGTCCTGAGTTTGATTCCTGGTTCCAAAAAAAAATTTATTTTGAAACAGGGTGCCTTTAAGTTGCCATGGCTGGGTCAAACCTGTGATCCTCCTACCTCAGCCTTTTTTTTATTAGCTGGTATTACAAGTATGCACCACCACCATGCCTGGCTTAAAATTTCTTTTCAAAAAGTATTTACAACAGTGTGTTTCCTTTATCTTCATTGTCAAATTTGGTTTTATAATAGATTCACAATAAGATGTTTTGTGTAGAATACAGGGGTCTTTTAAAAATTTCATTTTGGTTCCATGTAGTGAATGAAAAGAATCAGATCATCTACTTGAAGCATCTGAATCTGGTATAAAATTGGCATTAAATTTTGTAACATTTTTGTTCCCTGATGTATTTGATATACCAGTTATCTTATTTTTTTCATATAATGACAAAAAAACTTGGGATTAAAAAGAATACAGAAGCCAAGCGTGGTTGGTACTTGACTGTAATCCCTGCATTCTGGGAGGCTGAGGCAGGAAGGTTGGAAATTCCGGAGATCCTGTCTTAAATTAGGGAGATCTTGTCTGAAAAATAAGATAGGGTGAGGATATAGCTCAATGTGAAGACCCCAGATTCAGTCCCCAGCACTGCACAACCGGGAGGGGCAATAGAATTGCAGTGTTCCTGAGTAATGAAATAGTTGTACCATGCCAGAGCTTGGCTCCTGAGGCAGTACTGCTTATCCCCTTTTTCTTCCCATTTAGCTGTGACTGTCATACCGCTCTCAGTAGGGGCCTGTCAGATAACCAAAACAGCAGTGTCATAACTTAGCTTCACCCAGGGCCACCGGGTCTGTATTGTCATTGTCAGTGTTTACCTTGCTCATCTTTCCCTTTCAATCAAATTAGGGCTTGGTTTACTCCTGTGCATATTACTAGATGAGGGCAAGGCAGAGATTGCAAGCATAGAAAGTGCAGGTCCACTGGGTCCATGCTGGCTAACCCTACCTTACTGAAAAACCAGAAGGACAGGCTCCAGTGGTCACTTAGGAAATGCTCTTAAGTTCCCTAGAATCGGTTTGTTTTTTATATTTATATTTATATATATATATGTACATATATGTGTGTGTGTGTATATATATATGTGTGTGTGTATATATATATATATAGTCCTTCACTTAACACCTTCCCACTGGCTTGAACCACAGGTGGTTCATACATAATTAAATTTAGGTAATTATTGCCCAAATATAAACATTAACACTATTCATGCCAATTAAAACTATTACAATAATCAAATTTACTTCATCAGGTTAAGAGAAATTTATATTCATGAATAGTTTATCCATAATTCTCTAAATTTTAACATGGAAATCTTATACGTACCTCATTGCTCATATGTATAGTAAATAGCATTTATAAATGGTGTACCACAAATTAGCTGTCTCCCAATTTTTTAGACTATTTTAATGTTTTCCTTAAGGAACTGTATGATGATATCTCCTCTGCTAAACAGTGCCTTTATTTGCATTATTGTAATCCAAGATCCTAATAAGTGGTATAAGCCGCACAGTGGTACAGTCATGCATGTACCACCAGTGGTTCAAGCTGGTGAGAACAGTCGATTCAAATCGGAGCCACTTGACAGTGAGACATATGAATTACGGCCCTGTCATGAGCATCAATAAATTTTAAAGCTATACTTTTAATTTTTAATAAAAGCTCTATAACTGAGGGCTTAGGAGTCTCTTATTTTTTAACATATCAAATACATGGGGTTTGGATAAGTAAATGGCTGACTGAACTATTTATGCAGTGGTATAAAGAAACTGAAAAGAGCCTGGATTTCTAGTTAGTAAAAGTATTTGTAGGTAACCTGGATAGTTTGTCACTCTTCTGTGGTAGTTATATACCAGCTAGAAATCATACATTTTTCCAAAATGTGGTTATTCTGGAATTTAAATTGAGCTTTTCATTCTTTGGACTCTCTAGGGAAGGGGAGTTTTTACTGACTATTCTGCACTTCATATCTTTGACTTTGCAATGAGAAGCAAAGATCATACCAGTAACTAAAGAAAATTATTTCCATGCGGTTGTATTTCTGTCCTTAACAGTGAACACATTGTGGGATTAGAGTAAAAGAATGAGATTAATGTTTCAGGGTTAGAAATGCATTGATAATTGTGGTAAGTTGTTGGTATTGGCCACATCATTCTTTATTGTATCCTTTGAAATTAGCCCATTGAGGCCTAGTAGTGTAAGCCTGTAATTCAAACTGCTCTGGAAACCGAGGCAGAAAGATCACAGACTCTAGGCCTCCTTTCAGGAAGACACTCCTTTTACTAGGGTGTGTATCTTGGTAGCAGACACTTGCATGGCACCCTGGCCATTCTGGGGTTGACACACAGCACAGCCCCACCCACCATTCATTCCTTTTTCTAGCATTTGTCTTTTTGTACATGACAACATTGAGACTTTTGGAGGGTTTTGTTGTTCCCCCACATATCCTTGATTGTTATTTCCATGTTTAGACAAAAGGAATTTAAAAAGTGATTCCTGGACTTCAGTGTACTTTTAAAAAAAGAATTTAACTTGTTGTTTGAAAATGTTCAATGGAGCAGTGCATTAGCATTAGTTTGGTTTGCCATTTTGGTCTTTTGTGGTTTTGGTACTGGATATGGAACCCAGGGCCTCACACACACTGGGCAGGCATTCAGCATGTGTTCCACCACTGAGCACTCCCAGACATTCCTAAATTTTATTTTGAGATAGAATCTCACTAACTTGCCCAGGGTGGTCTTGTGTTTGTGATTCTTCTGCAAGAGGCTCCAGAGTAGCTGGGATTACAGACATGTGCTTTTTATTTTTGATGATGAGGCATTGGTTATGTCTTTTGTAAGATAGAGCTGTACCATATTAAATTTAAAATAAAAAGAAAGTCTAAGGAGCCAAGTATCTTCATGCTAGATTACCATCTTTTTGTACATATAGGTGTATGGGGATAATTAGTTCATATGGAATTGTGGAAATTTCATGTTTTGCTGAGCACATTATTTTTGTCTTGAAAATAAGTTCTTTCAAAGTTAGAATTTTGAAAACAGTTAAAAATTAGTGTTGAGTTAAAGAAAAAGTTAATTTGTAATAGTAAGATTGGATACAAAAGGGTACCTAGTCCTATGAGAGGTTTTTAATGTGGAAAATGGAATCCATGGATGAATTGGTATAAGTGTGGTTCAGGAAGAGCAAAAGTTTGAAGACAGAAGAGGGCCCCAGAGGTGGTCCGAAAGGTCAGTAGGTAGGTACTGCACTGCGCTGTGCCTTTTCCAAGCTCTCATATTGAGAGCATCAGCTTTGTCCATCAGAATTTCGTTAGTGTCATTGAACCCTGAGTGCGGATTGCTGGGTATATGTCCATGGGCCAATGCTGCCTACTTTGTTCCAGTGACTGGACATAGGGTTGCTTAGGTTTTGTCTTTCTTAATGGAACGTATTGTTTGAGAGTCATGATTGTATGTCCATTAAAGAATGACATAAAAGTAAATGGAAGTAGTAGACTAATTTTTTTTTTGGTACCAGGGATTGAACTTGGGGCCTTGCGCCTGCAAGGCAGGCAGGGGAATCACTGAGCTAAATCACCGGCCCTTAGTTGACTAATTTTTAAAAACATACAGTCACAGGCCAGAGATTTAGCTCAGTGGTTCTGCTGCCTGCCTTGCAACCACAAGGACTGGAATTTGGTCCCTGGTACCAAAAAAAAATACAGTCACAGATATGCTATTGTTTCCTATCTAATGATGGCTTAGATTGTGTTTGATGCTGATGCTACATTCAGTGAGGACAATGTTTGGCATGTATGTGGCCAGCATTCAGTCAGTATTTGCTGAAGGAATGAGGGCCAAGCAAAGCAATGTATGGAATGTGCTTAGCTCAGATAGGACTCAAGCTCCCACATCCAGTGGTCTCTGTTTAGTTCTGTACATGTGTCAGACTCTTGCTTACTAATTTGCTTTTCCTGAGAAGGTGTTCTGAACTATAGGCATGAGGGTACTGGCTGTTGGAAAGGAATATTTCTCATTGCAAATTAATGACTCTGCTCACTGGTTCAGTCACTCAGATTACTGAGTGAATCAGCTGACTGAGTCAGTCCAGTGACTCAAGTGGATGTGCACAGTCTAGCTTGCCTCCAAAGGTGAGGTACTGTCAGTGTGCGGTTGTCAGCAAGTCCTTCTGGGGGCCTGGGACCTTGTCAAGGTGCTGGGCCATAGTACCAGGAAATTGGGATTTCTCTGCCTCACATCTTTGCATGTGTGCATGTGAGCGTGTTGGCCATACAGATGGAGAGGTTTCATTCTGGTATGCACTTCACATGCTTTGGATCATTTTCACCTCCACTACCCCTTGCCTTCTACTCAAGTGATTTGTGTGTTTTTGTTTTTGTTTTGACTTTTTGAAACACGATCTTGTTATATATTCCAGGTAGGCCTTGCTTGAACTTTGGGTTCTCTCACCTCAGTCTACCAAGTGTTGGGATTTCAGGCATGCAGCACCATGCCCTGCTCATTTGACTGTATTTGCTTGTTTCCTTACATTATGTTACATGACCCATTGTTTTTTGTCTTGGTATAGGAACTTAGTGATTTGGCCCGTGACCCTCCAGCACAATGTTCTGCAGGCCCAGTTGGGGATGACAGTAAGTAACTTTCTAAATTGATTTCTATGGCTAACTTGAAAGGAGCTTTGTGTGTCTTGAGATGATAGTGAGAATGTTTTATTTTGTTTTCTTTTTGTAGTGTTCCATTGGCAAGCCACAATTATGGGACCTGTAAGTATTAAGAATTTTAAATTTGGTTTATACTACACAGTAGTGGGTGAATGACCCATTGAGTTGCAAAGCCATTTGTGTACATCTGGCTTTCATTAAAAAGAAATATTCTACACATGTAAAAACTTTCTTTTAAAATTACAGTGTGACTGAGAAATAATACTAGGCAAACTATTGCTAAGTGTACTTTTGGTTTCTGGATAATTTTTTCTAACCTTAGGTAAATTTATAAAATTGAAGCTAATAAGTTAGGGTTTGTTATAGTTATGACGTTTTTCCACCAAGATGAACCGAATGAATAAGAGTTCATTAGAGTGCAAGCAGGTAATTTTTGACTCATTATTAGAGAAATACTTAGAAAATGGAAATGTTTACTTACCAATGAGTTTTCTTTAAATATTAAGGTTAAGAATATTTTTCTCTTCACAGAATGACAGCCCATATCAAGGTGGTGTATTCTTTTTGACAATTCATTTTCCTACAGACTACCCCTTCAAACCACCTAAGGCAAGTGTTTTCTTTCACAATCTGTTAGTACAGAATTTGCACTGTTTCAGAGGAACAACACATTCTGCAAAATTAGGGTTCTGTGTAAGACTGTGTTATGTACTGAAGAAGAATAATTGAAGCTGAAATATATCTATATGTAGATATGCACACACAACTAGCCTGTAAAGAGTTAGATATCGGCTTGAAGTTTATAAGTGGGGGAGATTTGCTTGTCCTTAGTGTTGCAAGGCTCAAATATGCCCTGTGGAAACCTTTTTCCATTTGTCAGTAACACAGATTGGAATTGTTGTAATAGTAGCCATCAGATGTTCAGCTTCAAGAGTTCCCAAATGTTCTGAGGTGGCTAGTTTATAGGTACTGAAAGCATATGGTCCTTGACCTTTTATAATCAATAAAGTAAATTCAGCCTGTGAATGACCACAAGATAGTATATATAAAACACTGTGATACTTCACTGTAACAGTCATGTTGAAGGTGCTGTGTGACATGCCATTGAATGAAGTAGGTTTTGTTTGGTTTTTTTTGTACCGGAGATGGAACTCAGGACCTTACGCTTGTCAGGCAGGTGCTGTGCTGCTGAACTAAATTCCCAGCCTGAAATAGTTTTGTAATACTCAAATTTTGGTTTTGTGCACAGTGGAAATGCAAACTTTACTGTATAACCTAGTACATTTTAAATAAGATTTATAAATTTTGATTCTAAGACCTTTTTTTTTTTCCTTTTCCCTTTTTTTGAGATAGACTCTTGTTATATGTAGTTCAGGCTGGACTTGAACTCACTATGTAGCCCAAGCTGGCCTCAAACTCACCAGTCCTCCTGTCTCAGCCTACCAAGTGCTGGGATTATGTGCGCCTAGCTCAGGACCTTATGTACATTTTAATAAGTGTTATTAAGTACCCTTCAGATTACCCTTTGATACTTGTATTATAGCACAAAAGTTAACCTTCAGAACTTTCCACAATATTATTAGTAATGAAATTTTTGTCCCAGCAGTACTTTCCATTTTAATTGAAAATGATTGGGGGAAAGAGCACAGAATAAATGTAAAGACCCGTTTTGATAATTTTTGTATTTTAAGTGATAACTTTTATTTCATTTATTTATGTTTTTGGTACTAGGGATCGAACTCAGGACCTTGTGCTTGGTGTGGCAGGTGCCGGAACTACTGAGCTAAATCCCCGGCCCTGATAACTTGTATTTTAAACTTTTCTTTAAACATCTTCTGATCAAATTTAGGGTGCTTTGTTTTTATTTGGATAAAATACTTAAAAGGTTTTTTAAAAATTTATTTTAGGTTGCATTTACAACAAGAATTTATCATCCAAATATTAACAGTAATGGCAGCATTTGTCTCGATATCCTAAGATCACAGTGGTCTCCTGCTTTAACTATTTCTAAAGGTAAAGTACTTTTAATGTAGTCTTGATGCTTTGATTCTCCCCCCCAATAAAGGAGTTTCATCCTTGAATCTGTATTTACTGTGTCAGCATTTTGATAAGAAGTGGAAGAAGAAGTGATACATAAATTTGTTTTTACCCTACTAGCAATATTGGTTGAAACTTGAAGTTGAAATTCAAATTAGGACTGGGTGAAGAGAGCATTGTTTGCCTAATGAGTTCCCTTCATCATATAAGACCAAAATTTATTTTATGGACCTCTATTTTTCTTGTCCTAAACAACTTACTTGTACATCTCATTTTATCTTTTTTTTTAAAAAAACAAGAATGGTATAATTATAGCTTACCTGGGTTTAATAGAACTTTTAAATCTTGAAGTTTTGACTCTAGGGAAATTCTGATGCTGGTTTTTCTGTTTATTTGAGCCAGGGTCTTGCTTTGTAGTTCAGGCTGGTCGTGAGTTCACTATGTAGTCCACAGTGACCTTGAACTTCCGGCAATCCTCCTGCCTCTGCCTCCTAAGTGCTGGGATCACAGGTGTGTACCATCACACCCAGCGTGTTTATTTTTAAATATATTTCTAGTTAGGAGGATGTCATCAAAAGTTATAGAAACTTGATCCCTAAGTTGGTTCTGATGTCCTGCTTTTATCACAGTAGAGTACCAGGTTGACCTGTCCTGGCAGCATTATCTCAGATGGATCATTTTTTCACTTTCTTTATTTTGAGTGATTCTGGTGGCTTTTCTCAGTTTTACCCCATGAGTAAAATCACACACAGCTATTTCTTGGGAAGGAAAAGTCTGCCTTTTAGTGTTTGTTTGTTTTTTGGCAGTACCGGGGATCGAACTTAAAACCCTTGCACTTGGTAGGCAGGCATAGTGCCACTAAGCTAAATCCCCAGCCTATATTGGTACATTTTAGGTAGACATGATAGTGTTCATCATAGAGAATTTGTACCTGTACATGATAGATCTTGCCGCTGCTTTTTTTCCCATTGCCCTCCCTTCGTCTCCTCTTCCCCTCTCTATTTACAAAAGGTTTGTTTCCATTTTTCCCTTTTTTCTTGTCACTCCTTTCCTTTCCCCCTCCCTCTTCCTTTTTCCCTTTCTCATTTGAACATTGTCTTCCCATTTCCCAATAAAGCATTTTGTTTTGAGCTTAGTGCTTATGTAAAATCGTACCAAAAGGTTTTATAATTTATGAGTTTGGTAAATGCAGAGTAAAATATATGTTCATGCTATGCCTTAGAACTTCAAAGGTACTGTGTAACATTTCTCAAGCTTTAACTACCACCACTTTTGAGGGAGAAAATAAAGTGAGTAAATACTGCCATGAGTCTTCCAAGATCACTTTTTTAAAATTCTAATTTCTTTTTTTTTTTTCCCCAAATCGTGCTCCCATACCCAAGTGCCAGGTGGCAAGTTTTTACTATTCCTGGATGGACTGTAGTACTGAAAAGTTTCTGTAAATACAGGTGGGAGTTTGTAGTGTTTTGTTTTTAAAGTACTTTGGTTTTTGCCAGTTGTATTTTGCTAACTTGCAGGTACAGCTGAAGTTTTTGCCTTTTCTCCTGAGTTACTGTGTAGCCAGGTCTTTTATTCTGTAATTTTATATGTGCATCCCTCGCACGTGCATTTGGATTTGAAATTACGTTCAGCTTCTGTGAATGTTGCTGAGGTCTTTGTAACACCTATGTGGTGAGTGACACATCACAGGTACCCACGATGATTGAGCTATGTCCTGTGACACTTGGCCTCTCCTGAGTCGGTGTGAGCAGATCAGAGCAAGAACGAAAGCTTTGAGGGGTCACTTAGTGCTCAAGAGGTCTCGGCAGTGTTTGGGTTCACTGGGACTCTTGGGAATATGGTCTCCACCTTGCAGATTCCAGGGGACAGCATTTTGTGGAGCCTGTCCAAGGGCAGAGCAAGGAATGGATTTTTCATCCGGCATGGGTATTACTCTTACCAGCGAACTAATGTGGCATTTGACTACCTGTGTAGTAGTCAGTACTGATTTTGATGCCAACAAAGGTATTCTTTTAGCACTCCTTACTTACCAAGAGTTTGACTTTTGTGAAGCAAAATCTCATAAAATATTTGATTGAGATTAAAATATAAACAACATCCGTTTGAGTATTGAAGTTCTTGACATGTATTTTTAAATTCTCTTGACCCTTACTCGCCCAAACCCTGTGATGCTGAGTAACAACACATTTGTTTTCTTGCAGTTCTTTTATCCATTTGTTCACTGCTATGTGATCCAAACCCAGATGACCCCCTAGTGCCAGAGATTGCACGGATCTATAAAACAGACAGAGACAAGTAAGTATACAGTTGTTTAGGGAAGTACTATAAAAATACTTTTAGCCTAACTGGAGTTAGGCTTCTATTCTGTAAGTTATGCCAATGCCAGGGAGATTGTATTCTTATCTGATAAAATAGTGTAGAAAGCTTTTTTTAAAATGACTTTTACGTGACTGAATAGCCCCACAACATGTTCGTTTTCTTCTAATGTGATAAAAACTTTGTCACTTTGTGCTCATAAAATTTGGGAGGGGAGAAAGCACTTTTTTCTTCACCCCAAATACATTTTTCCAAAAAATACTAGTACTAATGATTACAAAAACTTGGCTCTAAATTTCTCAGATACCTGAATTACCTTCATGTTCAACTTAAGCATTGTAACCACCTTACCTTGTGATTAATGTAAGTGTGTTGTCCAATCAGGTACAATAGGTTAGCGAGAGAGTGGACAGACAAATACGCTATGTTGTAGGGTAAGAGGACCGTGGTGCCGCTCGCTCTTGGTGCTGCGAGCACTGGGGTGCCGCATGCTCTCAGGCACTGCATTAACTAACAGATAACAGACTGGGCAGTCTCTGAAAGCTGCTTGTAACAGCTTGATCTGCTGAGCATGACAGAATGCCCAGTAGTCACTACTACTCGGAAGTATTCTTGCATGGCAAAGCAGCATAGCACTAGTCAAAGATGACAATTTAAGAGTGTCTTTATCAAACTATCTTGGTGTTTACATTTTAACTTGAAACTTTGTTCCACTGCTATAATAGAATGTGATGGATTTTTAAAATTTTGCCAAGAGGTAGTAGTATTGGAAGGGAAAAATACTTCAACCTACTCATCTAAACTAAATGTTCATTACTGACAAGCATGTGTTAGTGTCAGCTATATTTTGTGGCTCGCTTTCTGCTATGTAAAGCCTCTGTTTTAAAGTGCTGGCTTTCTGGAGAGGATATTTTTAAATGACATAACTATGAATTGAGTAGAAAGAACTTTGAAATGTAAAGTTTAGAAAAAAGTTGAGTCATACTTAGTTCTAGGTTTGAAATAAAACTAACAGTATTTTTAAAAGTTTAAATTAAATCTAAAAGTTCTGTGTCTTTTTGCCGTATATTCATTTCTTAAGGTTATCACTATTTTTCTTGGTAAGTAATGGCATGGAAGAATCTTGGGAGAAATGGATGGTATTTATCAATATTAGTGGTCTTGCTCAGTGATGACCTGGCTCATGAGTTAATCTAAGCAGAGATGTCTTGGTTACAGTGCTAGCAATCTCCAACAGGTTGCTGTGGGTCTTAGCACCTACTGCACTGCAATTTCTGAAAGTTAATATGTGGTTCTGATCACACCCAGCCCTTCTTGAAAATCGCTGGTCTGTCTTGTTTTGTTTTTAGATCTTAGGCTTGCTAGGCAGGCGCAGCACCACTGAGCTACATCTCTGGCTTGCTGGTCTTTGTTACATAAACCCTTCCCAGTGTCTCACTCAGAATTCTAAGTCTCAAAGGCATTTTCTCTTAACAGCCGGAGCCAAGTAACTTCACAAAGTCTAGGATTTCAACATAATTTTAAAGTAACTGTTTGATTTTACTTTTGGTGGAGTTTGTTGGTGTACAGAATGAGATACTATTCTGACAGACATCTCTGATAAACTCTAAAAAGCCCTGCCTTCAGAGCAGTTAGTCTCATTTCCCATCCTGCTTTGAGAACCAGAGGTGTCTCTCCCTTTGCTGTTCTCCAGTCATAGCTATAATAGAAACGTCATGATTGTGTAGGTAAAATACTGATCTGATTCTTCTCTGGAAAATGTTGGTAAATACTCTTAACTTTATTTTTAAAATACATTTTTTCATTTACAGGTACAACAGAATATCTCGAGAATGGACTCAGAAGTATGCCATGTGATGCTACCTTAAAATCAGAATAACCTGCATTATAGCTGGAATAAACTTTAAATTACTGTTCCTTTTTTGATTTTCTTATCCGGCTGCTCCCCTATCAGACCTCATCTTTTTTAATTTTATTTTTTGTTTACCTCCCTCCATTCATTCACATGCTCATCTGAGAAGACTTAAGCTCTTCCAGCTTTGGACAATAACTGCTTTTAGAAACTGTAAAGTAGTTACAAGAGAACAGTTGCCCAAGATTCAGAATTTTTTTTAAAAAAGGGAGCATGTGTATTATGTGGCCAATGTCTTCACTCTAACTTGGTTATGAGACTAAACCATTCCTCACAGCTCTAACTGCTGAAGAAGCCAGCTGAGGGGGGGAGATGGATGCTCGGTTGTCACGGCAAGGAAGCAGCATTATTCTAGCAGCATCCATTCTTGTTAAGCCTTCCACTGTTAGAGATTTGAGGTTACGTGATATACTTTATGCTCATAACTGATGTGGTTGGAGAATTGGTATTGAATTTATAGCATCGGCAGAACAGAAAATGTGATGTATTTTATGCATGTCAATAAAGGAATGACCTGTTCTTGTTCTACAGAGAATGGAAATTGGAACTCAAACACCCTTTGTATTCCAAAATAGGGTCTCAAAACATTTTGTAATTTTCATTTAAATTGTTAGGAGGCTTGGAGCTATTAGTTAATCTATCTTCCAAAACACTGTTAAATATAGCACTGAGTAAATGATGCAAGTTGTCAGTGGATGAGTGATCAACTAATAGCTCTGCTAGTAATTGATTTATTTTTCTTCAATAAAGTTGCATAAACCAATGAGTTAGCTGCCTGGATTAATCAGTATGGGAAACAATCTTGTAAAATGCAAAGCTGGTTTTTTTTGTATATACTATTGGGATTTGCTTCATTGTTTGACATCAGATAATGATGTAAAGTTCAAGAGTGACTATTTTGTCATGTTCAGCTAAAATGCAGTCTGTTATAGGTTGATCTATTGTTTGACCTGACTTACGCAGAATAGGCTACTCGGATAGTGTAGCTTCAGTGTGCTGCATATAATCCTGGCAGCCCTGGAGATCGCGATGGACTTGGGCCCCAGCAGCTTTGAAATGTGTGTATGGAGTTGAAGTTTATTTTCCAGGTGCATCCCCTGTCTAGAATGTCTTCACCTTGTACACTTGACACCCTAAGAAAACCATCACATGGGAGTAACAGTGGGTTGGAATTGACAGAATAAAGTACTGTTCAATGTGGGAGCTGTTGCGATGCTGTGTTGACGTGGCCTAGCCCTGGGGTATTTGAGTATCTGAGGGAGTAGATTGTTGGCCATTTACAGTTGTGAGCGTCAGTGCAGCAGGTAGCACTGTGGGGGACTTCACATGAATGGCTAAGGTCAAGTGCTGTTGGGTTCTTCTCTTCAACAAGTAGAACTACAGTTCTACTGCTGAACTGTAGTAACAAGGGCATTACCATCCTTCACCCTAACTCTGACCCTGTAGTTTTACTTTTTTCCTAGTTAACTTGATTTACCCACCGTTTTATTTCAAGTCCTGTGTACAGTTTCTAGCAAATGTGATGTCTCCACTTCCACATTTTTGCACTGCTTACACTTACGTGCAACCTTATTTCTTGTCTGCACACAGATGTGGGAAGCTAGAAATAAACGTTAAAGCTTAATTTTTATAAACATTTTAATATGTAGTTTGGACATAATTTGTTAAGATTCTAATCTAAACTGGAAGTGAAATGCATGCTTTCTGAAGATATTCTAGCTTTGTTCATTCTGTACTAAGCACTTCGTTTGGAAATACAAATCCGCCTAAATGGTCTTTTCCAATGAATGAAGTGACTCTTATCTTGCTTTAAAAATCATGGGTTCTTCAGGGTAGATGTCATGCTGTCAAAACTTTTATAGATTCAAATTAGGAATGAAAAACCAGTAACTGCTCCACAAGGTAAGAAATAACTGCTCTTTGGCTATTTTCAGAATCTTTCCAAGATTCCTATACTCAAAGTAACAGCTTTAATAGGCATGTTCTTGAAAGCCAAACATGAATAAAACTTTTAAAATAAAAGGGTGGGGCCCTAATTGGCTTTCAACTGGACTTTTTTTTTTTTAGCCTTAGACATTGTTTACAGAGATAGCTTAGACTACCGTGATCATAATTAGTGGGTATGTCCAGTTGTGTCTTTTGATACTTTGTGTATCTCCTGTGTTGCTTCTAAGGGAATAAGCCATAGAGGCTTCTCCAGGTGTAAGAACAGTGAAGTACCTGGAAAACCCCACGTTTTTGAATGTATAGGCGCTGGACTTGGGATCACCATGATACCTTCAAAAGAATCTTAAGGATTTGCCCTCTTCCCCACCCGACAGCAACTGGACATTGCTAGTGCCATGTGTAGGACTGATGTGACTGTTTGGTTAAGTATTGGTTTGGACTGTTGTCTGTGTTTCCTGTAGTAGACTCACATTTTTCTTCACCTATGAATACAGTTGGCCTGTTAGTGGTAAATATTACATTCTTAAGTGACTCACTTTTTTCTCGGGCAGGTTTGCAATGTGATGATCAGACTTTTTGTTTAACCTTAGTTTCCTTTTACTGTGTGGGTGTACTCACATTTAAAAGTATGAACCACGGTTAACTAGTGGTCTCAGGGGTAGTGAAGCACTCACTTCATTTTTAAATATGAATGGCTTAGTATTAAAATACTGATCATGCTGTGCTAGTGATGGGGTTGACAAATTAGCCATGTTTTGTGTTGACATAACTGTTAACTGTTGATTACACTTAAGTGAATGTCTTTCGAGGAACCCAGTGCAAGTCACTAAATGTCTAAAAGTGACAACTGCCTAAGACTTGTAATAACTAACGTTAATTGAGCTTAAAGGAATTGTTACCATTAAAGTCTGTGTTTAAAGACACTTGGTCTTACTCATTGCAGCAAACGCAAAGTCCATGATTGAATTCAATACGGTGTGCGAGCTCAGTTTTGAATGTACAGTATTAAAGTAATGGTGTACGAAGGGTATTACAAGTTTGAAAGTGTGACTCAACCAGTGTCAGCATTGTTGAGGAAGTTCTTAGAACACAAATCAGGTCCTGTCCTAGTTGGTCCTTACGGAGCCCTCCAAGTGGCTCTATGCATGGTCAGTGTTTAGTCTCTTCTTAGTGTTCCTTTGTGACACAACTCGTCACTGCAACTGTGCTCTGCTCATTGTGGGTGCAGAGGATGTTGTGTATGCCTGAGTGTTCTAATAGCTGACAAGTGCCATAGGTGATCTACACTGGGAATACATAAACTCTAGCTTAATATCTGTATAATCCAGCTAATGTTTAGGTATTACAAGTAACCAAGTTCAAAATCTACCTGTGTGCTAGGTAAACATAGCTGAATAAAGATTGGAGCCCAGATTTCATTCTGTGGAAATGAAGATGTATTTGCAGTGTTTGAATCTAACATTAATGTGCCCTGGCCAGGTGTAGTGGCCCACGCCTGTGATCCTAACCCTCTGGAGGCTGAAGCAGGCAGATCACTACCCCTGAGACCAGCCTGCACTACAAAGGAGACACTGTCTCAAACCCCAAAGCAAACAACAAAACAGCCCATTAAATGTGCCTTAGTACTTTAAAACTTTTTGTGCTTTCTTAATGTAGTGTGAAATAAATGGTAAAGAGTTTGGAAACTTCCAAAACATTGTTATAGTGGAACATTATTAAAGACAAATTTCTAGACAGGTCCGAGAGATTGAAGTTGGCTGTTTTCTGATTTTAAGAGCCCTCAAATTTTTCTGTAATATAGAAAATGGTTTCATGAAGTGACAGACCATTGACTGAGCCTCTACTTCCTGATCTCTGTTCATCCTTAGCAAGAGCAAACACTGTAAAGTGAAAATGCCTTCGTGCCCGTTTAGGAACTCAGCGGCTCATTGCTGACCTACCACTGCTGAGCTGGTGCGCATGCCATCTGTTTGCTGTGCACCTGGCTGTTTAAAATGTGTTCGGCATCTTCCAGTTCACTGTCCCGCTGCCACCACTGTGTGAATCTATTGTCTTAGTGAGTGGTCTTCCTGCTTCCTGGCACGCAGTGGCCTGGCCTGTGCAGAACACCCACCATAACTAGGTCGGGTCACAGCAAGTTCATAAGGTACAGTCAGAAAGTTAGTTGTAGTTTTATAATAAAAATTAAGAAAATTCCACTTGAATAGCGTCAGAATGCTTAGGAATATATTTAACCATGGAAATGTAAAACTTGTACAGTGAAAATTAGAGAACTCTTAAATAAATGGAAAGGCATCCGTATTCACAGATTAGAAGATTGGATAGTGTTGAGATGATAACGGTTTCTCAAAGCCATCTACAGATTGAATCCAATCTTTGTCAAAGTTAGAATGACTGGCTTACAGAAACAATTGGTTTAAAAGGTTGTATGTCACTGAGGATGTACTCAGTGGTAGAGCAAAAGTTAATGGAATTTCAAAGGAGTACAAAGAGTCAAGCAATGTTTAAAAAGAGCAAAAGTAATGGGGTTTGAGGGGAGAGGGAAGGGGGGGGAAGGTATATCGTACTGGTGTAAATTCCCTATGATGAGTGTTACTGTGTTTATCTAAAATGTACAAATGTTTTGCTAAAAGAAATGTAAGTAAAGGATTTATTTCCAATTTTAAAACTTACTACAAAGCTAAATAATCAAAATTGATAATAGCATAAAGGTAAACATGAAGGCCCATGGAGTAGAATTGAGAAACCATGTGTTTATGGTCAACTGGTGTTTTGCAAGGGTGACAAGACTACTTAATGGGGATCAGTGGTTTTCAACAAATGGTGTTGGGACTAGATATATATATATATATATATGCCTGCCAAAGAATTGGGGCCCCCATCAACATATACACAATTAAAAGGTATTGAAGTCCTACATATGATCTAAAACCACAAAAACCTTGAACGAAAATGAGTATTTTCATGCCCTTTGATTTTATAATCAAATACTAAAAGCATAAGCAATCCCAAGTGGTAGAAAAATTGGACCTCATTAAAATTGTATACTTTGCATGTCAAAGGACATAGTAGTGAAAAGAATGCAAGAAATATTTACAATTGTATGTTAGGGACTTATACATAAAGAATTCATAAAACAATGATAAGACAGTCCTATTTTTAAAAACAGCCGTGGCCGGGGATTTAGCTCTGGTTCTGGCATCTGCATCGCAAGTGCAAGGTCCCAAGTTCAATTCCCTGGTACCAAAAAAAATAAGTCAAAAGATTTCAGTAGACATTTCTCAAAAAAGGATACGCAAATGTCCACAAGCACCCACATAAAAAGTTGTTCGGCATCATTAGTTACTAGGGAAATGCAAATCACCACAGTGAGGTATCGATTTATACCTGAAACTGGAATCCTTGAACATTGCTGGTGGGAATGTAAAATGGTACAGCTTCACTGCAAACAGTTTGGCAATCATGAAGTTAGATTTTATTTGAATGTAGTGGCACATGCCTTTAGTCTTAGCACTGTGGGAGGTTGAGACACAGGATCTCACATTCACCCTCTGCCTGGGCAACATAGTGAAACCTGGTCCCAAAATAAAAGAACTGGGGATGTAGCCCAATAGGAAGGGCCTGGGTTCAACCCTCAGTACCACTAAAAAAGAGTTAAACAGAATTATCACAGAAAGCCAGCAATTCCATTCTTAAGTATAGTATGTACACACAAGAATTGAAAACGTTGTGGAAATAAGGAATAAATAAGTAAATTCTAGTATTTCAGATGATGACATTCAGCCATGGAAAGGAATGTAGTGTTGATAAATGCTACAGTGTGTGGATGTATTGTGAACACATGCAAAGGGCACAGAACCACCTTGTATGGTTCTCTTTAAAGGAGCACCCTGAATAAAGTCTGTTGAAGACAGCACATTGGCATATACGAGGGACTAAGAAGGGAGAAAGGATAGTAACTACTGAGTAGGCATAGGGTCTCCTCGTGGGGGACAAGAATGTCCTGGGGCCAGGTGGAGGGGACAGTTTTGCAGCACTGTGAACATACTAAAAGACACTAAATTGTGCGTTTAAAAATGACTCGTGTTAATGTGGCTTTCACCCCCAAAAATATATCAGCCAGTAAATATAGTAACAGCCAACATGCACTACTTTTTAGATGCCAAGCTCTACTCTGAATTCTTTACATATATTAACTCAATTTTCATAACAAACTTGTATACTTATTATGTATGAGCTTGTATTATTATCTC